AATGTCTTCTTGGACAGGAAAAGAAAAAAAATGTGAAAGCAAATTAATTCTATCTTATTTTTGGCTGTGGAGATAGTTCAAAAATTTCCTCTATCTTGATCGCAACACTTAAAATACCGCAGATCTCAGAACAAAACATTCTTAGTCATTCACTTCTTTCAACTATTGAGCATGCAGTTTAACACTTCCTGATGTGAATAAACTATGGTAAAAATCATAACGAGCATGTTTTTTTAAAGCTATGCATCTCTAGAGATTGAAAAAAAATTTAAATTTTGAAGATTCTTGTTATGGTTTTAATGAAACTGAAATATGCTATCCAGTCTCTTTATGGAATTTTTTGCTGCTTCACAAAATATCCGGAGGAAAAATGTTGCTGTTTATATTAAACTTTTCCAGTAGGGATTTGATATAGGCTTTGTTGCTTGTAGCTTTACCTACATTTCAGGAAACTTTACTTTGTGGTACATCTGAAATAAACTAAATTTACGCTAAATTACGATCTGTGTAATCTGTCATTTAAGAAATAGAAATGAAGTAACTTTTTCGTATGCCTTAACTACATTCAAAACTCGGTTGAGCAGCAATCAAACGAAACTATGCATTCAAGTAACCGTTTTTTATTCTGACGTGTAAACAAAATGGAACATAACTAAGATATTTTTTTAAATATAGCTTGAATAGCGAGTACGTGGAATTTGCAGAAGACAAGACTGTACACCTAAATGCATGTATATTATTTTCCTCAACATAGCTCAATTCTCTTAAACCAATTTTTCAGATGTATATTTTTGAAGTATTATTTCTATTTATTAATTGAAAATTAATGTAACGAATAGTTTTAATTTAACTTTATCTAATTTATCAAAAGAATACCATGTTAATTCAGATTAGTAACACTATGAAAGAAATGCGAAAACTTTTAGTCTCGTAAAAATATAAGCGTATTATGTAATATTCCATCATTTGTAAGTGAGATTAAAGTTTTAATTATAAATACACTGTTGGACAAAATTAAGAGATGGAAAGCATTTTCCCACATTCATTCGCACATGCAAGATACCCGCACACCACTCCATGTGTTTGACAATGGTTCCGTGAATGCCCAGAGGTACAGACAGGAGGTCCTAGAGCCCCATGTGCGTCTTTTCAGGGGCGCTGTTGGCCCTGAGTTCATATTTATGGACGACGATGCTCGACCACATAGGGTTCTCATGGTTTATGATTATCTGGAAAGCGAGTATATTCAACGAATGAATTGGCCAGCTAAATCCCCTAACCTGAATCCTATTAAACATGCTTGGGATGCTCTTGGGAGAGCTATTGCGATTCGCCAACCTTCCTGAACCATTCTGGAGGTAAAGATTGCTCTGGTGGAAGAATGGGAGGGTCTTCCACAAGTCTTCCTTAACTCCCTTATTAACAGCATGCATACACGTTGTGCATGCTGTCTGTCAGGGGTGGCCATACACCACACTAGAGGCAACACACACTGTACAAGCCTCCCTTTTGTTGTCATCTTTTATCTTAAGTTCAGACTTCATTGGATTTATTGGCAATAGGTCTTACCCGTGAATGGCACTCTCATTTTTGCTTTGCATACTTTATTATCACGGCATAAGCTATATCCATACCAAATTTCATTTATTTATATTCAGTAATTTTTGAGATATTTGAGAAAATGTCTTCCATCTCTTAATTTTGTCCACCAGTGTATTTGCAATTCAAATGTCAAATAATTTTGTATTCATAATCATGAAAAATCCAAAAGAAAAAAAAAGTAATAATAATAATAATAATTCTAATCGAACTTCGAATACAAACTAGTAAGAAAACGAGACATTCACTAGAATCAAAAGATATACATTATATTTATCTTATTTTCAACTTGCATTCATATTAAAAGCCTCTATTTATAATCATTGAATCACCCAAGATTAAATATTCCATAATTTGTAAGTGAGAATAATTTTCATACAAAGTGAGAATAATACGTAATATTCCTTAATTTGTGAGTGAGATCAAAGTTTTAATTATAAATATTTACAATTAAAATGTCAAATAATTTTGTATTCATAANTGAAGACAAAATTGCAGGACAGAAACACTTTAATTGTCCACTAATCTTCAGATTTCCTGCTATGTTTTAAAAAACTTTATTTGTTTAAACCTTTAGCGTGGCGGACAGCTGGCCGCCTTTGCGGCTAGTTACAAATATTTACAATTCAAATGTCAAATAATTTTGCATTCATAATCATGAAAACCCCCCCCCAAAAATAAATAAATAATTCTAATCAAGCTTCGAATACAAACTAATAAGAAAACGAGACATTCACTAGACTCAAAAAAATGTATATTATATTTATTTTATTTACAACTAGCAATCATATTAAAAGCCTCTATTTATAACCATTGAATCACCCAAGAAAAAACTTCTATCTTGTGGCGACGAGTGCAAAAAGATTTAAAATAAAATGCATCACTATCTTCTATTACAATCTTGGTGAAAATGTAATCAGGCAGTGAAGAGTTAGAAAAATCTCTTGGGAATTTTATTGAGCACTCCCTGTCTTTATCGCTTTACTATGCACTTGACATATCATTTGAAACTCTCCAAATGGAAAACTGATAAGATCGTGGTCGATTATTCTAAAAAGTACGGCTCAGAGCCAAACGACAAATGTAATTTACAGCTGCTTCAAAGTTTTGATTTGAAATTTTTTCGTTGAAGAAAGGAAAAAATAGTGTAAAACAAAGTTTCTATTTGGAACCATGTCTATAAATCTGTTATTCTGTAGATTATCTAGTGAATATTCAGATTAAATAAGGTCACTAATTAATCTGAACAAGATAATCGGTAGAATAAAATGATTTTCTTTATCTAAAATATCGACTTGCTACAGTCAAGTAATCAACATAACAGTCATTAATCACTTTAAAATTTGTAATACAAAGATTTAAATGGTTTAAAATAATGTTACAATTAAGAAAATTAACATATTATTTCAATTTCTGAAGAATCGAGTCAGGAAATTCAATAAAACAGTCAACAAAGTAATTGGTAAAATAAGAGAAACTTTTGAGCTTTAATGATACGGAAAACTGTTAATGCTCACATTCCATTTGTAAATTACTGCTAACACCTGACTCTGGCTTTAAACGGAATAATCCACTTAATCTGCTGATTAGTAAAAAATGTGCATATTAACAGTTTTTGAACTTTATTAGTAATATATTTTTAAGAAAATCGCGAAACAAACACATTATGCAAATGAAGTTTCTTAAGATGTAATTTATGCTCTATTTAAGAGTTTACTAATATTGATTTTTTTAAATATAGAAATAGATGAAATTAAAAAAAATCTTAACTAAGAAAACACATAAAAAATGAAAGGTTTTAAAATCTATGCTTTTGAAGTAAGCTGAAACAAAGAAGATAATATTTACTTTCTGATTTTTTTTAATGGCGGACATTTGAGATGTATTGTCCCATTGGCCAGGAGTGCCAGAGCTGCTACTCTCTTATCCTTACCCAGTGGGCACCTGTGGTGAAGCCACAGCGGTGGAGCAGCTTCGCGCACGTCACACAACCGCAAACCCGTTTACAGGGCGGTCACATTCACACACAAACAAGAAAGGACATAGAAACATCCATGTCCTGAGCGGGATTCGAACCCGCTACCATCGGCTCCGCAATCAGGCACGCTAACCACTCGGTTCTGCAACAGAACTTTTGAGGTCGAAATATCAAATATGTGTTATATCAAAGTATACATGAAATTATGTGTAATAAATAGTAAGGAATATTAAAGTTTTTTTTTAATTTCTTTAAAAAAAATTTTAAGAAATATAAATGGGAACACTGATAAAGATACCATTGATGTGTAGCATGACAAAAAAAAGTGTTTAGAACGGGGTTCCTGCAAGGGATAAAGTGTTGATATCTCGATCCTGATTGGATGTCGAAACGTAGCATTTAATTACGTTTGCAGATGTTCTTTCCATTCCATTACGAGTAAGCCATACCATGCAGATCAGGTATCTTCTCTTAAAAGGAACATTCTATATTCCTAGGAAAAATTCTATAACAAATATTTCTATTCTTTCCCCATATATTTCGTACTTAACACAAAGACAGTCACAAAATCGTGTTTAAAAAAAAACTAGTTATGTATCGAAGTTGCCAGGTATGCAAAACAACTATATATCATGGTTACAATGAAATATATAAACAGATATTAAAACTAAGTTAAGTAAAAGACGTAGATGAGAACGAATTCTATTTCAACAATGCAAATATGTGCATAAATTTGTTGAAAACTAATATCATAACTTATGTGGGGAAACTTATATCAGCACACCAGTTTGCTTGTAAACGATCAGTAGGCAATGACGTCATAAGTCACATGTGTGGGTATCCTTAATCTTCTTCTTGAAGTTGAAGTACCCAAATGATTGTATTAACAGTGAACATAAAATAAAAAAAATTAAAATAAAGCTGACTACCTCAATAACTTCTAATCTAATGATCTCATCTTGAAGTGAGGGGGGTACCTTAAATATTTCAACTAATGCATGCGATAACTTAAGTCACGAAATAATAACTAAAAACGCACTTTCCTTGAATAAACACACAATTGTCTAGCGAAATTTTTATTTTTTTTATTTTTATTGTCTTGTAGAAACTGCATCTACACTATATGGCAAAGTTCCACTTACGGGGATGATGTCATTTATGTCAGTGCATCCCACCTTTTTCGCTTTATGTCTCAGTTTTCCTTAGATTTTTTAATCGGGTATTTCATCTCTATTTACGTCCATCATATATATAAAAAATCTTACTCCACAAAAAGCAATTTAGCAACTAGTTTCTTGGAATACATTTGAAAATTTAAGAAAAAAATTCTAAGTTTGTATTTGTCGCATTTACAAAGAAAAATTCAACGACGAGTGATTTTGTAAATACTATCAGCAATGAAAAAACATCAAGTATAACTTACAAAAACAACTTATTAGAGATCGACCAGCAATTTATCAAGCTTAGGCAATTAGAGTATTCTCACTTTTCATCATTTATCTTCGGTACATATCAAATCTCCCGATGTTCTCTTGAGAATAATTGCCTCTAGTAAAAAAAGAAAGGAAAAAAAAAACGATGAGGTAAGAATCGCGAACATAAAAGGAGGAAATGCATTTATTTTTATGGTTATTTAATGATAAATGAACCAAAGATTCTTAATGAAGATTGAGCATTTTTATTTAATGTGTGTTACTCTTATGATTGTTTTCTTTCCGCCGTAAACGGTAAAAAAATCTTAAGGTTTTCTTGTATAAACGAACTAGAATAAAAAATTATAATAAAATGAAGTTTATGGTTTAATGAAAAAACGAACTGTTTCTAGTTTTGTATTTATATATTTATTACGTTTAAATTATTTTTAGTTTCCTGTATTTAAACTTAAACAGTGTTTTGGAGCAAAAAAAGAACTTATGTTTGAAAGAAAAAATTTCAGAAGAGTTTTTGGGCTAATATAAATAATTAATCCACTGTTTATGATTATAAATAATAGTTACTTAGCCATTTAGGTAATAACAAAAATTTCGTGTGATTTGAAAAATAGAATCCTTAGAAATGGCTGGATCACTGAGATAGAATGAGCAAAAATAAGTGATTGAGAATTTCAATTTCAATTTATAATGAATGTATGAAAAATTGAATGAAATTGGATTTTATTTGTAATGAATATATGAAAAAACATGTTAAAATGAAGTTCATTGATTCGGAAAAAAATAACTGTTGCTAGTTTTGTATTTACTTATTTAGGATAGAATATTTTTTGAATTATTTTTGTTTTTCTGTTCCTGAAAGTAAATTTGAAAAAAAAAAAACATAACTTGTTAATGCTTTAAAGAAGAAAAAAAGAAAAAATTTTGCAGCGATTTAAATGAAAAAATTCACAGTAAATGATTATCAACAATAGAGAACCGTTTAGATTATAAAGAAAGAAAAAACATCAATTGATTAAAAAAATTCAACTCCTTATAACGGTTGACCCATACAAACTGAATAAATGGATGTTGTTGTTGATTTAAGTCGCACTAGAGCTGCACAAATGGGCTATTGGCGACGGTCTGGGAAACATCCCTGAGGATAATCCGAAGACGTGCCATCACAATTTTGATCCTCTGCGGAGGGGATGGCACCCCCGCTTCGGTAGCCCGACGACTTGCGCGCGAAGTCGAGCACTTTACGGTAGCACAGTTTAATGAGGACCAATACCGCACACCCTCGGTCCCTACCCAGACTGATCCAAGTGGTCACCCACCCGCACACTGACCGCAGCCAGTGATGCTTGACTTCGGTGATCTGCTGGGTACCGTGTCTTAATGATCAGTCCACTGCGGAACCTGAATAAATGGAAATAATGGGTAAAAATTTTTTAATCAGAAACCAATAAATATACAAACCAAATCAAACAAACTATCCATTAAAAATCTCTCTTGAAAGAACGGTTTGATAATGTAACGAAAGATCTAACCATAATGAAAATTAAAAACTGGAAGAACAATGCTAAGATCAAAAAGGTATGGAATAACATTATTCAGCAACAAAGTTTTCCTATTGGCTATAGCGCTATACAGAAAGAAGATTTATTTTAATTTGCTATATCATTAATAAGTTGGCTATTTACAGAGTATTCCAGTATTTCTGTTCTTAATACATATTTGTAAAATAATTCTCGAAATAACCATTAGTTGTCCCTTATGTTGAAATGAGTAATATTTAATATATATATATATATACGAGGCCTGTCTAAAAAGTATCCGACCTTTGGCCGGAAAAAATATTTCGAATACCTGACGGAGTTGGGACCCTAATCCCCTTCAAAGTAGGCCCCTTGTGCTTGTACACACTTAGCCCACCGATCCTTCCATTGCTGGAAACACCTCTGGAAGTCTTCTTTTGGAATGGTGTTCAGCTCCGTCGTCGCGTTCAGCATTATCTCTTCTCTACTCTCAAAACTGGATCCTTTCATCGGCGTCTTCAATTTTGGATACAACCAGAAGTCGCAAGGAAACAGGTCTGGAGAGTAGAGAGGTTGGCGAACGGTTGTAATCCCATGTTTGGATAAGAAAGTGTGGATCAATTGGGATGAATGTGCAGAGACGTGCTTTTTGTTCCGGCGACAACAACTTGGGTACGAATTTTGCAGCCACTCGGTTCATGTCTAAATCTTCACGCAAAATTGCATGTGCAGAATCTTTACTCACTCCAACCTCTTCTGCGATCTCCCGCACTGCCAAACGACGATCTGCCATCACCAAATTTCACAATCTTTCAACATTAACTGCACTCTGAGCAGTTTGAGACCTGCCACAACGCTGCTCACTCTCCGCTGATGTGCAGTCATCTTTGAATCGGTTGAACCACTCCTTAATTTGTGTTACACCCATCGCTTCTTCTCCAAACACCTGCTGAATCTTACGAATTGTTTGGCTTTGAGAATCACCAAGCTTTTGACAGAATTTGATGCAGTATCTTTGCTCAATTCGTTCAGTCATCTTGCGAGAAAACTAAATCCGACGAACACTACGAACAGCACCTTACTTGGCGACCACCAGCCAGCGAGTTGCACAA